GAGATGGAGTTTTGCTGTTGTTACCCAGGCTGGAGTGCAATGGCACATTCTCGGCTCACCGCAACCTCCGCCTCCTGGATTCAAGCGATTCTCCTGCCTCAGCCTCCCGAGTAGCTGGGACTACAGGCACGCATCACCATGCCCAGCTAATTTTTGTATTTTTAGTAGAGACCGGGTTTCACCTTGTTGACCAGGATGGTCTCGATCTCTTAACTTCGTGATCCACCCGCCTCGGCCTCCCAAAGTGCTGGGATTATGGGCGTGAGCCACCGCGCCCAGCCTCTTCAGTGCCTTTGAATGAAATTATTCCAGAAAATGTATAACATTTAAGTATTTTCTACTAGTAAAACATTTTTAAGATATTCTGCTTAAGAGATTAAAAACACTATATGTCAATAAAACGAATGATATTTACTGATTTCTGAGGCTCAGAACACCTTTGTTTACTGACAAACAGAGCAAACTAAATAGCCAGAGGACCCAGATTCTAGTAGTTTAGAACCTGAAACAGAAAAACAGAAAAATGTATTTAGACAGAAAACATATATAGTTAATATAATAATAGCAGTTAATATTTATTTACTGCTTGCAGCATCCAAGGCCCTTCACAAGTATTAACTCATTTGATCCTCAAAAAAACCCAATGAGATAGGCAATTTATTACCCCTATTTTACAGGGGGTAAACTGAGTCACAGAGAGGTTAATTTGCTTACAGTTAGACACAGCTAATAAGTGGTAAACAGAAAATATGATGCGAGGAATGTCAATTAAAGTTTTACAATCTATAACAATTATTTTGAGATATGAGCAATTGGGATGGATGATTGTGAAAAAGATATCTGTTTATATGCTAAATGTACTCAAGGTTTCCTGTGTTTAAAAAGTTAAATTCTGTGTTGTTTTCAGAATAAAACTAATTTTCATCCAAACAAAACAGTGTAAAAACCCTTAAGTCAAATGTCTAGCCTTAGCAGACTGACAGAGTCTTTTAAATCAGAAGTTATTAAAAAACGTTTTCTGGGCCAGGTGCAAAGGTATATGCCTGCAATCCCAGCACTTTGGAAGGCTGATGCAGGCAGATCACAAGGTCAGGCTCCTACCCTGTGTAAGGCCTGATTTCCCCGTGGTTCCACCCACTTCCCTCAGTGCACATGTCAGGCTCCAGACCCTCATCTGATATAAACATTTGTGGGGAGGGTTGGAAATTCTCCGACAACCCCTTTATATCTCCCCAGGCATTTGGCTGTCTTATTACTGCTAACCAAGAAGCAAAGAAACTACAAGTTCAGTGAACGTGCCATCACTGTGGGTCACAATGATACTGACAGGTCTTGGGGAGAAAGATTCTCAGTTGGGCCTTGAAGCAGGTGTAATATTGGAGATAACAGAAAAGAAGAGACAATGAAAACGGTTTAAGTAAAAACAAGAAAGTAGGAAAGAACCTATTCTATCTGTGGAACAGTGAGTAGAAGAGTTTGGCTGTCACCAATGTTTGCGTAGGTGAGGTAGTAGTAAGAAACGAGTTCACTGTGACATTTTTAGGTCAGATGCTGAGGAATCTTAGATTTTGTGCCAAGTGGTTTGATTTTATCCTGCTGTTCTTGAGAACTGAAGGCTTGAGTTGGGCAGTGCTATGTTCAAAGGCATGCTTGAGAAAAACATATCCAGCATGAATCTGTAACCACTCAGTGGGTTCATCTTGCCTTCTGCCCAGATAAAGCCAATATATCAACACAGGGGAATTGCAATTGAAAAATGATTTAATTCACATAGAACCGGCTAAATGGGAAACCAGAGTTTTATTATTACTCACATCAACCTCCTTGAAAATTCCAAGGCTAGGGTTTCTTAATAATACTTTGGTGGGCAGGAGGTTAGGGAATGGGTACTGCTGATTGGTTAGGGATGCAATCATCTGGGTGTGGAAGACAGTCTCTGTGCACGGAATCCACTTCTGGATGGGCACCACAGAGGAGTCATTGGTCTAGGTGGGCCTCAAAAGACATCTCAAAAGGTCAATCTTATGTTATACAACAGTGATGTTATTTACAGAAGCCATTGGGGAAGTTGCAAATCTTGTGACCTCTAGAATAGTGGCTGGTAATCATTGAACTATGCCTTTGTCTTAGCAGAATTCAGGTCCCTGTCATCCTCCTAACCTGGTGGTCTTTTATTAGTTTTACAAAGGTGGTTTAGTTTTGGGGAAAGGCTATTATCATTTTAAACTATAAACTATCATTTAAACTATAAAGTAAACTATTATTTAAACTATAAACTAAATTTCTCCCAAAGTTAGCTTGGCCCACACCCCAGAAAGACCAAAGCAGTTTGGAGGTTACAGGTAAGATGGAGTTGGGTTAGGTCAGCTCTCTTTCACTGTCATAATTTTGGCAAAGGCTATTTCAAGTCTCCAAGATACAGGGAAGTGAAGAGGCAAAAGGGCAAGTGAAGATTTAAAAGACTATCAAAACACAGCTTCTTTCTCTGATGAAGAGCTATAGCTAGTCTATGGAGATGGGCCCAGGAGAGTTTACAATATGCTTTTATTGCATTTGCTGTTTAAAAATTAAAATTCACACAATAAACCCCTCAACAGAAAATCTCGTCAGCAGTGTTTCCGGAATATCTCCAGAAACCAACCACAAGCACTATCACCATTTCCCCCTCTACTGTCTTCTTTCTTCACTGTCAACATCAACTCTCAAGTGGGTTATTTCAATTGGCCTCTTTTCCCCACTCCTTCTCTAAGATATTATATTCTCCACACATGAGCCAGAATGATGCTTCTGAAATTTAAGTTAGTCAATATCGCTTCTCTGCTTGGGACGCTCCACAGGGCTCCTGTTCACACAGATCACAACTCCCAATCCTGAGCCTGACCTCAGCACTGCCTCTGTGCCTCGTTATTCCCCCCTCTCCCCACCTCACTCACTGTGCTCCAGTTACCCTGTCTTCCTTGCACACCGGTGTGCTCCTGCTTCAGTGCCTTTGCATTTGCCATTTCCTCTGCCAGAACTCCCTTCCTAAGGTTATTCGCATGGCTAACTCCCTCCCTTCCCACAGGACTGTACTCAGATGTAATCAGAGAACTTCTCCCTAACTATCCTGTGTCAAATAACACCAACTTTTATCACTTCCCCTCCCCTTTCCCTTTTTAAAAACAACCTCCTTTTATCAATTATTATCTTCCCTGGCAGAAACTCAGCTGCAAGAGGTCAGATACTTGGTTGGTTGGTTGGTTGGTTGGTTGGTTGGTTGGTTGGTTGGTTGGTTTATGGCTGTATCCCTAGTTCTGAGAGCAGGGTCTGAGAGTAATGCTCCATAAATGCTTGTTATTAAAGTATTTAATCTCTGTATGCCTTGGAGAGTCAGAGAAACCCTCCCTGTCTTCCAAGGCCCTCTAATACTTGGTCTCACTGTCTGTGTTCTGCTGTTGTTCTAGGTGAGGGAGAAACCCAAAGTTAAGAAACACTGACCCCTGTAAAAGAAGGCAGTAGACACATCAGACAATCACAGGCATTTGCCAAATTTGTCCTGCCTCCCAGCTTAGGTGCTAGTTATTGTTGAATTGAAAAGTTAAATACCATTGTTTAAATGGCAATAACATATAATAATCCCACTATACCAGAGAATGAAGGATGCTCATCAAAGTCCATATTCTCTTCTTCCAGATATGTCAATAGATTATGCTTCTCAGCCCCCTTGCAGTTAGGTGGGGCTAATAGAAAGTGGCTGAAAGTGGGAAATGCAAATCAAAACCATAATGCCATACCACCTTACTCCTGCAAGAATGGCCATAATAAAAAGATTAAAAAATAATAGATGTTGGCATGGATGCAGTGAAAAGGGAAAACTTCTACACTGCTGTGGGGATGTAAACTGAAACAACCACTATGGAAAATAGTGTGAAGATTCCCTAAAACACTAAAAGTAAAACTACCATTTGATCCAGCAATCCCACTACTGGGTGTCTACCCAGAGGAAAAGAAGTCGTTATACAAAAAAGGTACTTGCACATACATGTTTATAGCAGCACAGTTCACAACTGCAAAAATATGGAGGCTGGGTGTGGTGGCTCACGCCTGTCATCCCAACATTTTGGAAGGCCGAGGCAGGTGAATCACTTGTGGTCTGGAGTTAGAGACCAGCCTGGCCAACATGGTGAAATCCTGTCTTTACTAAAAATACAAAAATTAGCCTGCAGTGGTGGCAGGCACCAGTAATCCCAGCTACTTGGGAGGCTGAGGCAAGAGAATCGCATGAACCCAGGAGGTGGAGGTTGCAGTGAGTTGAGATCATGCCACTGCACTCCAGTCTGGGCAACAAGAGTGAAACTCCTTCTCAAAAAAGAAAAAAAAATGCCCATCAATCAATGAGTGGATAAAGAAACTGTAGTATATATATACGATGGAATACAACTCAGCCATGAAAAGGAATGAACTAAAGGCATTCACAGCAACTTGGATGGGATTGGAGAATATTATTCTAAGTGAAGTAACTTAACTCAGGAATGGAAAACCAAACATTGGATGTTCTTACTCATAAGTGAGAGCTAAGCTATGAGGATGCAAAGGCATAAGAATGATAGGATAGACTTTGGGACTCAGGGGAAAAGGGTGGGAAGAGGGTGAGGGATAAAAGGCTACAAGTTGGGTTCAGTGTACACTGCTTGGGTGATAGATGCACCAAAATCTCACAAATCACCACAAAAGAACTTACTCATGTAAACAAATACCACCTGTTCCCCCCAAAACCTATGGAAATTAATAAAAAAAAAAAAAAACTTATGCTTACTAAGTTATTATGTACTTGCTAAACATCCAATAAATTTTCATTCAAATTAAAAAAAAAAAAGGAAGTGGCTGAAAGCACTATGTTCCCTTTCCAGGTCTGGCCTATTAAAGAAAGCAAAGCAAACCAAATGACACAAAACAGCAAAACAAAAGAGAAACTTTTTTTCCGCATAGTCTTCCAACCCCTTTCCCTTTTTGTCTGCTAGATATTGATGCTCCGGGAGTCACTGGAATCCACATGTTGAAGCTGGTACAGTATCTATTTAATATCTGCTTGGGTCCCTGAATGACAGCATGGAGCATATTACTTTATTTGGCCATAGAAAGAATTGAAGTGTTGATACATGTTACAACACAGGTCAACCTTGAAAACAAATACTAAATGAAAGAAGCCAGTCACAAAAAAAATCACATACTATATGATTTTAGTCATATGAATGTCCACAATAGAGAAATCTATAGAGATAAAACATAGATTAGAGGTTGTATAGGGGTGGGGTAGGGAGGATAGGAGTACAGGGAGGGTTATAGCTAAAGGATTTGTGGGGTTTTTTCTTAAGGTGATAAAAGTGTTCTAAAATTGTGGTAATGGTTGCACGTCTGTGAATATTCTAAAAAACCATTGAATTATACACTGTAAATGGGTTAATTTATAATACGTGAGTTAGATCTAATTAAAGTATTTTTATTTTTATTTTTTATTTTTTGAGAGTCACTCTGTCACCAAGCTGGAGTACAGTGGCATGATTTGGCTCCCTGTAACCTCCACCTCCCTGCCACCTCCCCGATTCAAGTGATTCCCCTGCCTCACCTCCCAAGTAGTTAGGATTACAGGCACATGCCACCATGCCTGGCTAATTTTTTTGTATTTTTAGTAAAGATGTGGTTTCTCCATGTTGGTCAGGCTGGTCTTGAACTCCTGACTTCAGGCCAACCAGACACCTCAACCTCATAAAATGCTGGGATTACAGGCATGAGCCACCATGCCTGGCCTAAAGCTCTTTTTAAAAAGTTCTTTACATGGCTTCATGTCTCTGCTTGCTCTGGCCCCTGGATCACTGCTCTCATGTCTTTGCTACAACCTCAAAGGATTTAAGCATGCCAGGAGGTCATCCTGAAAAGAAAGAGTTTAAACTGTATTAAAAAAAAAAAAAAAACAAAAGAAAAGACGCAAACAAAAAATCTTGGCTATTCTTAGAAGTAATAATTGACAATGGAAAAAATTTAATCTTCCAATATAATTTACGCTGAAAAATATGTAGGTAAATCATGAATCTGTACTTTCATAAAGCTTTAATTTCTTCCTTAATTATTGCATTGTATTCTACTACTCAGAAATAACCCCCTAAACCTATTACCCTACTTTCAAAAGATTGATTATAATTAAATAACTTCTGAAAAGGACTTATGGGAAATATTGTTTTAATATCTTGGGAAATATTGTTATTTTAAAGCCAGTCACAAGATTTTCCATACTTTCCACCCATTATAAATTGGTTGTAATGTGTAAGGCATATCAATGTCTTCATTTTTTGTAGCTAACACAATTGGCATTACCATGACAACTTACCAGTGGAAGGGTAAATTGGTGAAATTCTCCTGCTATTTTATTTATAACATTTAGCTTTTAATGCTTGGCTTTGCAGTTCAGATGATAATATAATAGGTTTAAAAGGCTTTATTCATAAAACATATGGATCTAAAGTGAAGTAAGCCATCTGTCATTTTGATTTGAAAAAAGCAAGAATTAGAGTAATTGCATTAAGCTTGTATTTTTGCCATGAATATATGAATTTTTCACTTTCTTGTTTTTTCGTTTGAAAAAACTCACATGTGAACAAAATGAACAACAGTCTTTTTCTTTGTAGGTATCAGGGAACAAAATCAAACAATATTTATCACACATATTGGAACAAAGAACATCAAGTAATATAATCAATAAAAGAGAAAATCTCTTAGAAAAAAAGAAGAATCAACATAAAATAACAATAAAAGAAATTCAAAATAAAGATATCTTGAAGAGAAATAAGAATCATTGTAAGTAGAATATCTTCTCACATGTAAATTTAAAATGACTACATGCAATCTAAAATCAAATTTTAGAGCTGCTTTCTGAGAAGTCTTAGGATTTAGTCATAAATATTTATACACCCCAAAACATTAAATTCTTCAGGCTTCTACCTTTGTTTTATTTTGATTTATTTCAGTTTTTTGAGACAGAGTCTCACACTGTTATCCAGGCTGGAGTGCAGCGGCATGACCATGGCTCGCTGCAACCTCCACACCCTGGACTCAAGAGACCCTCCTGTCTCAGCCTCCTAAGTAGCTGGGACTATAAGCATGCACCACCACACCTAACTAATTTTTAAAATTTTTAGTAGAGATGAGGGCTTGCTATGTTGCCCAGGCTGTTACCCCCAATTTTAGATTCAGAATTTGTACTGATGATAATAAGGAAGGTTGATAATCAGAAATTGTGTTCTTCTGATGCAAGTAAATACGGAAAAATAATTGCTGCTAGTAAGAGCAATAGATAGAAATTGAGACCCATGTGGTTAGGGAGGAGAAAGAGAATAGTTTTAGGGCTGGATGAACTCATCAATGTTAATCTCTGTTTTTTCTGAGTCCTGCTTTGACAAGGATTTTTAAATTTTTAACTCTTAATATTTTAAGGGTATTTTTTCCTCACATTTACCTCCAAAAGACTGGTTCACTGCCCAGTTGAAGAATTGGCTCTAGATATTACATAGAAATGTTGACATGCTTAGCTAACTGAAGTTAGGGATTTAGCAGGAAACAAATGGCACATTTAAATTGAATCATTTGAGAACAGTTTAATAAAGAGACTATTTCTAAAGGTGTAGACGGGATATAGGGAAACCACAAAGTTCCCCCTGGGGCCAGTAGCAGGACTGGCATTACTACCCCATGGCCCTAAAGTGCCATAGGGTAGTAGTGGCCACCAGAGATATGTAGGGAAGGCTCTGTGACAGAACTACGGCCTCAGGTCAAGGACAAAGCCAGCCTGCAGAGACACAGATTGAGGAGGCAGGGAAGTAATAGCCCCACCTCACTTTCTGCTTACCTTTCATGCCTTCTGCTAGTGATACCTTTCAGCCAAAGCTCTTCAGAAGCAGGAAGGAAAGGGAGTCCATTGATGTGATGCAGTTCTTATGGGTTAGAGTCCCAAGGCACAGGGCAGGATGGAGTGGGATCTAGAACAGCAATCAGAAGGCTGGCCACCATAGCCTATGCCTATAATCCCAGCACTTCAGGAGGCCGAGGCGGGCAGATTGCCTAAGGTCAGGAGTGTGAGACCAGCCTGGCCAACGTGGTGAAACCCTGTCTCCACCAAAAATACAAAAATTAGCCAGGCGTGGTGGCATGTACCTGTAATCGCAGCTACTTGGAAGGCTGAGGCAGGAAGATCACTTGAGCCCAGGAGGCAGAGGCTGCAGAGAGCTGAGATCGGGCCACTGTACTCCAGCCTGGGTGATAGAGGGAGACCCTTTCTCAAAAAAAAAAGAGCAATTAGAAGACATGAAACACACCTGGCTTTCCAGACAGGGGAGATTAGATGGCATGAACTAGAAGGATAAAGAGCTTTTAGTGGCACACAGTAGAAGTATAGTTAGTAAAAGTAAAATTTCAGGATCTTAGAGTAAAAAGGAATATTAGAAGTCCTCACCTAAAAGTACTAAGTCAGTGTAACCATCAGGATTCAACCAGAAAAAAAAAAAAAAACAGTAGGAGATGTCTATATTTAGGAATTTATTGCAAGAGACTGGCTTATGCGACTGTGGGGCTGGTGGGGCAAGTCCCATATCTAAAGAGCAGGCATCAGGGAGAACAGGCTGGAATTCTTGGGCATGAGCTAAAGCTGCTGTCCATAGGTGGAATTTTTTTCTTCCTCAGAGAAGCTTCAGTTCCATTCTTAAGGCTTTGCAACTGATGGAATCAGGCCAACCCAGATTATCTAGAATAATCTCCTTTTGATGAGTTTTAATCATAGCTACAAAACAGCATCATAGCAACAACTAGATTCCTGTTTGAATAACTGAGGATGATAGCCAAGCCAAGCTGACACACAAAATTGACCATCACAGGCAGGTGTCTCCTAACCCTTATGTGTTTGTCTACATTTTTAAATTTAAGTGCAACCCTTTACATTTATGTGTATTAAACTTCACTATGCATATTTTACATTAACAGGCACCTTACATTTATGTGGATTAAACTTCATATGGACTATTATTCCAACCCATTGATTACATTAATGAATTCATTAGTTATTCTCTCCTAGCTTTTGAAATTTTGACAAGCATATCACTTCCGATCTTTTACCCATGTTCTTGTTGGAGAAGTTGGCAAGATGGGCCAAATTTAGCACCTACGGCCCACAATAATCCACCATTAATCTTTAGAGTTTTATTGGTGACTGGGTGTCTTATTGGTGAATAGGTAGATGTAATCACTTGGTCAGGAATATCTGACCAAATATAGATAAGTTAAAAATCTGCATGTGTTGTGGCTGAGAAAATTGTATTTACCAGAATGTCTTATACAATGTGCACTGCCTTGTTAAGACATGCCTGGGGTCATGTCTTAACAAGCATTTGTGGCTGGCATACATCCTCCCCTGCTCTCCCACCTCCCCCCAACACAGAAGCCCAGTGTGAGCTGATGCCAAGCCTTCAAGGATGGAAAGGCATTGCCCTGTAGAATGAGGAAGAGAAATGTTGCCATTTTGTTTTTGAAAGGGTGAGAAGAAAAGAACAGGAGAGGAACTATGAAAACAGCGGATATGAGGAGCAAAAAAAATGGTGATTGGCTGCTGAAAGTTAGTGAAACTTTAAAGTTGGGGGATTCCAACTGATATTTTAAAATCAGCAATGTCTAACATAACCATGAAAAGTTGGTTTTGTTCCTAACTCATCTTCTCTTTCTGCTCTATAAAATATTAGATAAAGTTTCCTTTCCTCATAAATGTTTTGTAAGAGTGAATATCCTTTTGGGACAACTCAAAGAGATAGGAAGTTTCACTGTGGGTCTATGCAACATAGTTGGGAACAGTACCAGTTTACTTAGGAGTTAAGAAAGTAGAGGAAGCCATGGAGAAGTTACCTTCCCTAGAGGAGAGTTTGAACTTCATAAACTGTGGAATGTAACAGGAATATGGGTTACACATGATTATCAGACTGGCTCAGAACCTTATTGAACTCTATTCTCATTTAATTCCCATTTCAACATTTTGTGCACAGAATATGTGTGAGAGATATATAGATCTATAAATGCTATTCCACAGACCTACCAATCCTTCACAAAAGAGAAATGGGATTTAACTTACTCTCAAAAATTCTAATTCTTAGTGATTAAATATTCTTAATGGAATGCTCACAAAACACATATAATAATCTGTTCTAAAAATTAAAGAGATTAACATCAAGTTATAGTTCCAGAATATAAATAACTTTATCTACATTTTAAAAACAGAGAAAACTGTTTAACCATTTTTGGAATTTTGCCACTTGTCTCTTTACCCAGAATTTCTCACATATAACAAATAGCATTTATACACCCATTGCTAAAAGGGAAGATCTGTGCCTGGCACTGTATCTGTCGCATAGTTGGAATGAAGAAATATTTGCTGAATTACATTGAGTTGAATTCTTTCTGTAGAGAGCTAGGATGTAAACTAGATCTTCTAACTCCAAATTTAGCATTCTCTGTATGCTATATTATAATGTAGTGCTACATAAAAATAATAAGGCTTAACGTTTTTAGAGTACATTTGGATAGTATTTTATAGCTGAACACAATGCTTTCCCATCCATTACCTTTTTTAAAATGGCATGTTCACTTTTCCTCAGGGCATTTTAACACCATAACTTCAACGACTAATTCTTCCATATGAGTCAGAATGAAGTCTAAAAGAATAATTATCTGTATTAAATTGTTAGCAAGACAAATCAAATACCAGTCATACAGTAGAAACAGTGGAGCCTTTTCCTGCAGGCCACTGGGACACTACAGGCCATGTCCTTCCTGGCACCCCTTAGAATTAATCATCATTAATTTTGATGATCATACCCAATCACTGTTGTGCTCTTGGTTGAAGGGAAGTATCTTGGAACCTTGACTTAAGTCAGTCTTGGCATTTCTTTTTGCTGCTTCTGGGGCGTATGACCAGCTAGGCTAAATTTAACATTTGCATTCCATTGTATTGATTATTTTTTGGCATATTCAGGATGGACACTGTGAAGTGCTGTTCAGACTCCCTTTCAATGAGGAACTAGTTATGCAGTTGCTGGGAGTACAGTCTGTAGACAGCCTTTGGCAGTCAGTCTCTGAAGGGACTGTTTTCAGGTACAGAGAACTGCATAGCCAAGGTCATGCCTCCCTCCTGGGGTAGCTCACTTCCAATGGGCAATTAATGCAGGAGTATAAAGGCAGGATCATCTCACCCTAACCTGAGATAACGCTAACAGGCCATTTTAGCTCTACAGAGCTCCACCTGTGGGGTCAGCCAGGTGTTTCTCCCTCTGCCTAGTCCAACTTCTTTAGCTGTGGTTCAGAAGGTCACTTCTTAACAAAAACCCTGACTCCTCTTCCTAGGATCTGCTTATCAAGGAACCCAGCCTGCTCACCATTTTATACCTTTCCTAGTATTTACTAAAAGGTTTTTTTTTGTAATCAACCCACAGTTTTATGTAAGCGAAATGATTTTAAAAGAAAACTACTAAAGGTCTCCCATTCTAGCAAAATAGTGGGTTAATCCAATAGGAAAATACTCTTGCTGCAAATACCTAAAAGTGATGCCTAAAATATACCATAACTTTAAATGTTTTAAAGTCATAACTGGGCTCACAAGAAACTGAAATCCTCAAATGTGAGAAATAATGAAGAATAAGTACGTAGTTGATGTTTTGCCGAGTTGTAATCAGAGCTGGTAAAGGCTGAGCCTTGTATTTTAAGTCCCAGATTGGGGAATGAAAAAAGACATTAGGACTTTTGAGAAGGGAATCAGAAAGAAGAGC